ACTAGATGAGGGCTTTATAATACGGCAATTTTTTGGAACGTAACTACCGTGTTATACGGGGGTTACCTGTATATATGTTATATGGACCACGGGGAAAAGGAAAATGCAAAAAAAATATTTAGTTCGAATTTTTACCACTATGCAAAAAAATGGCGGGCGCACGAAGAAAAAGAAACAAAATGGAAACGCGCAAAATGTTTTTATTCACATTTGTTCAATGTGCAATCCATTTGCATCAATCACGTGTTCAAAACGCCTTACAGCATTATCATTGCCTGGCCAATGACAATGCTGCCACTTGAAAGAGGTCACATCCTCCCGTTACATCACAGTGTTGGACTTTAAGTCCCTCTACTCCTCCATTGAGCTCTCTCCCGCTTTCTGTGCGCTCAGGGACATCTTATTTCGTATTGTCGGGGATCGCCATTGCACAACCAAGTGCTAGAAATGGCATATTTAATTTGCTATAATTCGGTGTTCCAATTTAAAGGCGATATCTACATAGTCCCCATGGACAGCCCGGTTTCAGGGAACCTCTGTGAGATGGTTGTGCGACAGTTAGAGAATAAGGTCCTCCCTCAGTTCCTCCCCAACATCGGATTATATAGGAGGTATATTGATGATATGAATAGTTTTTAGAAAACTGTACCGGATGTAACAGCCTTGGTCGATGCTTTTAACAATAATCCCTACGGGTTGACACTGGAAATAGAACAATTTGACCCTACCGAGGTCCACTTTCTAGATATAAATATTAGAGTGGAAAACTCAGGCATCCACACTTCGGTGTACCATAAACCAGGATCTATGTCTTCATACATCCCGGTAGGGTCATACGATCCTGTCACATACAAGACTGCAGCCTTCAAAGCCCTAATCAGAAGAGCCTTCGCACATTCATCTAACATCCCGGCTCGTGATACTCAATTAGCGTATATAGAAAATGTAGCCACCGAGCACGGTTATCACAAAGTTATAGACTACATATGATGATACAACGTTATCGCCGTACGTATTCAGATAGAGACATGGAACGGATCCCCATCACCTATAACCCGTACCTAAGATCTACATATACCAAGGTTGCCAGGAAACGCCAGGTACGTGTCGCTTTCAGGAGGTGCTCCACTATTTTTAACATCTTACGTAATGGAAAGGACCCTTCTACCCCCAGCAGACGACCAAGAGTCTATAGTTTCCCTTTAAGGCAGTATTTTTCAATCTTCTTGAATACGCGACCCCTTTACAAGTTGAAAAATTCCGGCGACCCCCAGGGCCGTATTAAAACTATATCAGTGATTTTAAAAACTACATGGTTAGAGGCTAAAACTAAAATGGTTAGAGGCTATGCACATCTTTAAATCTTCCGTCTCAACCACGTGCATAAATTTTAGAGAGGAGATGGTTTTGTCACTGGCCTGGCAAGAGTTGATTCTCAGCACGCTCTAGCCGCTCGTTGTATATGGGCAGGCCGACACGTTACGCATGCGCGACTTAAATTTTTTGTAAATCGTTCGAACTCAAGATCGAACGATTTACGGTTAACGGAATTCGTTAATCGAATTTCCATCTAAAAATCGTTAAGAAGCCGAAGCAGAGCCCAGGGGCCTTAGTCTCGAGTTTTTCGTGTTACAACTCCCAACGTGTTGAAGGTGTCACGTGGTACCATCTCACACACTGACGTCAAATTGGTAGTCTCGAGTTCTAACTCACGTGCTTTCTCATCTCACCATGCGAGTTGCTACTCACATTAAGTCGAGCATGTGAGATCGCTACACGAAAGTAAAAATGGCTGACGGATACGCAATTCTTATCGCTATCGAAGAGTTAGAAAGAGCCGAAAGACGTTGTTTGAGAAGGCAACGAATTTTTCGACCACGAGTAGATGACATTTCTTTTCGTGTCAAGTCAATACTAATAAAAAAAACTTTAATTCATAATTGATAAATGTATACAGCAAATTTTTCTAAAAATAAAAAGAAGTATCTAATTCATCGAAAAAGAGTATTAAAATGATAGTAAATTATATGTATAGATTATTA